TCCCAGGGCCTCTCGGATCGTCAGGGTATGGGAAGCTCAGGCGAATCGACGCCCGGGCGGAGCGGCACCCAGCAGGCGCGAAAGCGCACACGAACCTCGGCCTCGAAACTTTTAGAAGGAGGAGGAGGAGGAAGAGGAGGAGGTGGAGGTGGAGGCGGTTGAGGGGTCCGTAGCCATTTTGGCTCAAGGCCAACATGGTGATTCCGTCCCTGCCTCAGCGGGGTAAGCTCCCATCGATCCTTAAGCAGCTTCTCGTGTTCTTTCGCGCTACGGCGCAATGTCACGTACCTATTGCTCTTCTGGGGGCTCGCCTGGCTGGGTCGACTTCGGCGGCATGGGGTTCTCGAGGGCAAACAGCAGAGACCGCGAGAGGGAGGACCGGTACTGCAAAGACTGCACTTACAGCTGGGGGCCGAAGAAGGACACTCGCTTCCTTAGCTTTGGCTCTCATCTTCATTGCGCACGGTGCCGTCTACACAAAGGGGTGGTTTTCGGTGGAAATCGTCAAGCTACCTCGCCCTCGCTGCGACCAGAACGGGATGGCTCACCTTGGCATCTCCTGCCTTAACAAGATACGCTCGCCGCTCGGGCGGGTGGATTTACCTAGCGAAGCAATTTCGCGAACATCAGACGGTAATGCGCGTCCCAAAGGGCTGCGCGGATCCGTAAGAAAAAGGATGAGGACCAGGAGGACGAGGAGGGGCGAAAGAATACGGATGAGGAGGAAAAGGAAGCCGACGGCGACGATAAGGATAACCCAGGGACCCATGAATGAGGAGGGTGGGCAGCAGTGTGATCGCGAGGAGTAGCAGGGAAGACGAACCACGGTGAGGGGGAGGGTGCTTGTGATGCCGAAGTAGGTCTAGGCGATATATTGACGTTGCGTCTTTGTTCATGGATGGGGCGTTCTCGGGTACCAGGTATGCAACCAACAAAAAAAACGGCTGGTCGCACATTGGGCGCCTACAACAACATGCCATTAACAATCACCAGGCAAACGGCATGCAACTAGCACACTAGCATACACCATGCAACTAGCAAACGGCATGCAACTAGCAAACAACATCCACCACGCAATTAGCAAACAACAAGCAAACGGCATGCAATTAGCAACCAACAAGCAAACCTACAACATGCAACACAAAAAGGAAACGGCATGCAACTAACAAACAGCAGCAACAACTACCACGCCACCAAACACACGACACGCAACGTCAACACCATTCGCACTCTAGGAACGTATCCGTGGTGTTGTAGAGGTGGATGTTGGCAGATTTTCGGAGGGGCGGTCTTCACAATTCTGGCGCGCGTTGCCATTTAGTTTTGATGCGCTTGCGTTGGGGCCCCATATGCGTTGTTCAGTCCGTGATTTGCCTGGTTGATGTTTGATTTGATTTAGGTTCTAATGGCTTCGTTTTTTGAAGAGGAGGGGTGAGTCAGCACAAACCAATTACACCTGGTGAAATCGGCAACCCATGGGCTCGTGGCTCTCTGGAGGACCCCATACGCGTGGAGGGTCAACTGACCCCTTTTCTCAGAATGCAAAGCCAGCACGATGCCCCCCTGAACCATCCAGTTTTCAAGGCGGCCCTGGCAGTTGTGATGCCGCTGCTTGCGACACAACTGCGAATGGGATCCCTGGTTTCCGTAGCCATTTTGGCCCAGGGGAGTTTGCTTCCGCCAGGCGTGTTCTCGCGCCGTGTCCCCACGGCGAACCTGAGCACCAACATGGTCCTCTCGAAGTTCGCCACGCCCTCCAAAGATAAGCAGGCGTCGACCAAGAAACGCTCAGCAGCATCCGGCAGCCCGTCAGCTAGCAGCCCTGGCGGCACAAAAGTTACCTGGGCCATGGTTGTCAAAGGGAAAACGAAATTCGACAAGCAGTGCGCTCAAGATTCCTCCACTTCGAAGCTGCCGCAAGTATTTGCCACCGTGCGCATGGAGCTGCTGGCATCGCCAGCAAAGTTGTTGCCGACACTTCACGCCGTGCAGGGTGATGATATGCGCCGTGGGCCCATTCTCAAGAAGTCCAAGTCGAGCAAGGCCGTCGACGACGACATCGACGAGCTGTGGGCCGACATGGAGAAACTCAGCCAGTTGCCCAAATACTGGGTGCGGGAAGTGGTCCATGCGAAAGATCCGAGCTATTTCAGCAGCACCGCAATCAAGATTATCGATAAGAAACACAGGGATTACTTCAGGAGGCTCGTCGAATGTCTTACTGGATTGAGGTCTACATACAAAACCTTCGAGGAGATGAAAACAAGAAGCTCACCGCCCGCGTCGTTGAAGTCCTGTGCGTTGCGTTTGATTATCGCTGGGCGTCGTTTCGAGTTCTATTTCCTAACCCTGCTGATTTGACTTGGAAGTTTCTCGGGGTGTACAGGTGCGGCGAGTCAGGCGAGAACCGCAAGACTTCGGACTTGATTCATATTTCTGGTGCTCGTGCGACGGTGCCGAAGAACATGACTGTCAACTCAGAATGGTAGTTCACGAACAACTGGAGCGACAGGCTTGCGCAGGGGGCCGACGGGGATTCGGTCTTCACCTGTTTCACCCGATTCAGTGGCGAGGCTGACCAGCCGTGGCATCAGTTCGCCGAAAGCCCATCGAGCCAGTTGAAGCACTACGTCCAGAAGGTCAGCACTGATCTCGACGAGGAGTTTGCGAAGACCTTGTCCACCGACGCGAAGACTTCAGATACTATCAAGGAGGTACAGAAGGAATCGAGGCGCAGGCACGGGAAGGGCCCCCCTGAGCACGCCATGCTTGCTAGTCTTGAGGCTCGGCCAGCGAGCTTCACTGCGCCAGGGCAGACTGGCCATCCGCGCGAGCTGGATTGAGTCATTTCCCTCTTGCCCCAGCCCACCACCACTTCAAAGCCCAGGCTCACTGGGCGCTCTTTTGAGCAGCAGCTTTTCTTCGAATTTGAGCGGCGATAGAGCTGATGCGGTGTCTGTCACAGAGCTCTTGTGGCCTGGCTTCGAGGGCAATGCGAGAACGAAGCTCCATCGGCAACCGACCCATATGTTTTCATTAGTTGCATGCTTCGTGCCCTCGAGGCCAGTGCACGATCCGATGTTCGCTCGGGTATCAGCGTTATGGCTTGCGAAAGCGTGGGGTTGCCATCAACGTTCAGACAAGATTTCCACATTGCGTATCCCATCGAGCCATCGAAGCATCGTTGATCGAGTTCTTGCTTGCTGCTGTTGCCGACGATTGTGAAGAGCGACGGTTGCGATCGGCGTCGGCGGCGACTTCGACGACGACGACGACGACGAGGACGACGACGATGACGTCGACGTCGACGCCGATCGCAACCGTCGCCCTTCTCCAGTCGATTGCCGTCGCCGACGATGATCCTCCTCGTCGCCCACTTCGTCCCCCACCGTCTCGCCTTTCGTCGCTTGCACGTCAGCAGTCGAGGTCAGCGGGCAAGCTGGCAACCTCGCTCGCAGCGAGGCGGACGGCGTGCAAGGAGAGAACATAGATCCCCCATGTAAAAAGCCCCTCTCGCTGTCGGTTCGGAGGGGGTCTCGAGGGGGGCGAGCGACGGTGGGGGGAAGTTTGGGGGCGGCGGAGCTCCGCTCGGTTCTGCCCTCGCCCTTCCACCAACTCCCTCTTCCGTCATAGCAGCGCAGGCTCTTAGCGCAGCCCGTGCGCGTCGACCTCGAGGCGACCTCGGCTCAGTCGCCTGGCGATGGAGGTCGACGAGGGCGTCCTGGCCCCCCTGGGAGACCAGGGCGCGGGCGCTGCAGCGGGCGACGGTGACGGTGACATCGGCGACGGTGAGTCAGCGCCCCAGGCCGCCATTGCAGTCGGCGCGGCTGGCGATGCACACGGCGTGCAGGTGGCGCACAACGGCATCGTCGAGCTCTGGATCGACCCTGGCAAGAAGCATCACTATTTGAAGAATCAGCTGACCCACGAGACCGTGAAGATACTGGCCCCACCAGCGGGCACGGATTATTGGGTCATTGATTTGAAGGACAACTACGCCTACATCGATAGCCCAGACGAGTCGCACTGGGTGATTCTGCTCCGGAACGAAATATCCATGCCAAAAAAAACCTGCCACCTGCTACCTGCCCAAAATCCATGCCCAAGTAAAGTTTGGAGGCGTTCCGTTTTCTGCCCGCCTGAGCAGGCGGGCAGAAAACGGAACGCCGTTCCAAAATTGGTCCGTCTGGCCCCCTTGAGCCAAAATGGCTTCAGCCAAAATCGCTACGTAAGAGACGGAGGAAGTGGCACCGACTGTTTTTTTGAACACTTCGGCCTACTGACGCTCAGGCAGTCTTTTTTCTGTGGCTTTTTTTTTCTCTGAACGTCTCTAGGTGACGGGGTTCTTCAAGCACGACGCCTTCGTGTCAGACCAGGGCCAGACGTTCGTCAAGTCCACGGACAGCGACTCCCCAGAGTGGATCGAGAACTTCTTAGGCGTGCACAGGGTCGACGAGTTCGCTTTCGCACACCCCGCTGGGGTGCATGATGGTCGCTGTGTGGGAGAATGCTCAGTATGATTCGTCGGTGTGGATTTCTCTTTGGAGCGTGTTCGACATGCTTTGTCTCCATGTCAACGTGAGCGGGGGCTCTTGGTTCGCGAACCGTCGGGGCGCATGGGAGCGGTGCTTGCGCGCGTGGCAGTTTCGTCACCACCTTCGCCAGAGCAGCCCGCGCGCGAACAAGAGAGCGGCACTGTCGAGTGAGGAGCTCGCGATGCGCATCCTGAAGTTTCCGTCGGTCAGCGTGGTCGGCATGATGAGCGCGATGATTCAGTGGGGGTCGGAGAATCAAAGTTCGCGCTTCAAGTCCGACGTGGATCGCGCTTCATTTACCGATTTGTTTGACAGTTTCGCTTAGATGATCCAGAACGGCAGCGTCAGTGTCAACGTCGACGGCTTCGCTTGGAGGCGCGGCCCCGACATTGCAGGCGTGCGGCCCATGGTCGTGCTCATCAAGGCTGGAGGGCTTGAACGAACGTCTTTCAACGCCGTTGCGAGTCTTACTTCAACGTGTACGGTGCGCCAGTGAGCTGGGAAGATGCTGGCGTCTGGGATAAGCACGAGGAGGGCGAGGACTTCAAGCCGTCTGACGTCATTCAGAAGATTCTCACTGGCAACAGGGACGCCAAGCTTGCAATGCAGCTCGGCTGGGGCCTAGGCAACCTCGTCGACGCGAAGATCGCCGAGGCCCAGGGCAAGGATGTCGAGCTGGCCCCCGACTTCAGGTACGATTTCTCGGACGATCTTGACGCTCAGCCCGACTCCAGCGTAGACGTTGCGGTATCTGGCAACCACGGCGCTGCGCAGGTGATCACGCGGTGCCTCAAGGTCAGCAAACGCACCATGATCGACAGCATGAACCTCGGTTTCGTCATGGACGCTTCCACGCCAGACCACCAGAAGAAGTTCTACGGCGCTGTGTTTAAGCCGAACAATACAGTGGCCACTTGCCCACCGCAGGTGTTGCGGGCAAGCTGGGATTCCCAGTTAGATCGGCGATCCTGATCCTGGTAGTTTCAGATGGGGGGGGCCCGGATATCCTTGGGTCCTCCGAGGCTCTGGTTCGAGACATTGTCACATCAAGGGGAACGCATGCCAGGAATACCCTGGTAAATTCAGGTGTCGGATCCTGGTTCGTCGGGCTCCTTCTCCAGGTAGGGTCCCGCTTGGGTCTTAGGGGTCCGTTCGGTTCGATCGACAGTCTGGAAGTCGCGATTGCAGGGCAGCTGCGAACGATCGGGATGCGACCGAGACAGACCCTCAGGTGAGCTCAGTCTACAGCGGCAGGCAGATGGACGACAGCGAGAGCACGGCATTGGCGGTGCAGACGTACGAGAATACCCACATCGAGCGGGCCAGGGAGCTTCTGGGCATCAAGTGCAACTCCTCTGAGTTGCCACGGGTGGAAAAGGTCAAGCGCAGGTGCAGATTGGACTCCTTCATGGCTGGGAAGGCCCTTCACAACATGCGCCTCGTGAGCGTCGGCGAGGGCCTTGGGGCAGTCCAGATCACGTTGGAGCAGTACCACCAGATGAAGGACTGCTACGATTGGAAGTGCGATCACTTGTGCTCCGACCAGGGCCCCGACATGAAGTGCCTGAAGTGGTTCTTACAGAGCTCGGAGGGCCTGTTCAATTTTGACGACGACGATGATCTGGCACACGGCATCGACAACGATTTCAACATGGCTGAGAAGAAGTGCGGTCTGTGGGCGTTTCGGAGGTTTCAGAGGTTGGCGAGGAACGCAATCTATGGCCCCTTCGACGAGGGCAGGAGGTTCAAGGAGTTAAAGGACATCGCGAAGGAGGTGAAGACGTTCGTCAGCCCTCTCAAGTGCCCGATATTTTGCGAGGCGTTGCCTGCCATCCTCGAGGAGATGGGAGAGCCCGCGCGCATTATGGAGAATGACATCGAGGAGGAGGCGTGGAATGGCATGACCGAAGTCGGCTTCGGCGAGGTGGCTGGCAGGAAGGGCAACCCCGCCAGGTGGCTTGGCGACCATTATGCTTCTCGCATCGACCGCGATCAGTTCACGATGCGCGCCGTCTGCTTCTCTTATGCGGTCATGGTGCGCGAGCAGTCGAACACGAAGAAGCTCGGAGTCCAGATGAAGGAGCTGCACAGCGAACCGAACCAGCACGGGGGCAACGACCAGGCCGTGAGCATGAAGTCGGCGGCCGCCGAGCTGAAGCGCGTGAGGGTGGCCACGCGGGACCAAGTGGAGGTTGCGATCGTCTACTACAACAACAAGCAGAACAAGAACATCGACAGGGCGACATTCGCCATCCGCGAGCCGTGGGCTCAATGGCATGGCCACAACAATTGGCACCTCAGGGATCTCACGAACGTCACGGACTGGGAGGTGGACCAAATCGTCAACGGGAAGTTCCTCAGAGTTTTTGTGGAATCCATGTCTGTACCGTTCGATGGCAAGGGGGTGATGGCTTACCTCGGCTTCGCTGTGGATCACAGCCATGTCAACGTGAACGAAGTGTCCGCGCCCCACCCGCTTCTGAAGATCGAGGGTGACATGGCCGAGTTGATCGGCACTTACTCCCTCGTCCTGAACGCTTGTCGCTTCAAGAGGCTCTTCAAGTTGATGAGGGGCTGGCCCAAGCACTTGGTAGCGGCCCTCGGTGACCTCGCTTCCCAGGACAGGGTCTTCGCCCTCTTCAAGCAAGACTACGAGAACTGGAAGGCACTCGGCGACGACACGGTTGGCTTCAGGGCTCTGTCGGGGATTATGGTGTTGAGCGAGAGCCCATCATCCATTGGGCCCTCCCCCTGCGACAAACAATTTCCAGTTTTTGTTTCACGTGTGCTGTGAGTTTGGCAGCTGTCTGCAGTTATCTCCTCGGATTGCACTAACCTTCGATTCTCCGGCTCACACAACCTTCGATCCTCCAGAAGGATCGACGCCAGTTTGTTCAGGGGGGCCGTGCCGACCAGAGGTAGTAGGCCGAAGGGGGGGGGGGGTACGTGAAGGCCCCGAATACTGGTTTCCAAAACACCCCCCCCCCTAAGGACCGTTAGGGGGGGGGTGAAACAGGGCCTTAAAACACGGACAAGGGCGCAGCGTCGATATGACTTCTAAGGGCCCCTGAAATCACATCGCCCTCTGGCCGCGCAAGCGGCCTAAATCTCGAGCTCCCTGAGAATGCCCGTTAGCAAACACGCGCCCGCCCCGAGGCTCGCTTGAAGAAGAGCTCGCCTTTCAACCTCGTTCCAGTTCGGCAGCATCTCGGCATTCTTATCGAATCGGGGTTCAAGAGGACCTCGAGGTGCATGGAGTTCCGCAGCGAGAATCGGACGAGGCCACTGCTGCCCCAGATCGCCGAGGATTGCTTCTGCAGGTCAGCCAAGGACATTCAGCACGCCTTGGGCCAAGACCGAGGGGTCGACAGAGATTTCGCGAACTTGATCGCGAAGGATGTCGTCTCGAAAGTTCACCGCCACAAGGACATCAACTGGAAGTTCGAGCCGCTCGCCAGAAACCCCAGGATCCCAAAAGAGGTGTATCAGAACACCCCCGACGACGTGAAGGCGATCGGCCTCCAGAACATCATTGGCTCCAACCAGTCTCCGAAGTGGTCCAACCAGAGCGTTGCCAACGACTCCAAGCCGACTTTCGAGATGGACATGCTGGAGTTCTGCAGGGCTAACGGCGTCAACGTCCCCACCGCAGAGAAGCACTGGCACTGCGCCTTGGCGAAGCAGGGCAAGGTCGCCATCAAAATGAAGGGGTCCCCCGACTCGGACGACGGCATCGCCATGGGTGACATGTGCGGCATCGTCGTATTGATTGCCAAGCTCAAGCCTTTCAAATACAGGTCTGGGCGCTACTTCTACATGATCGACTTCGACGCTGCGGCCCCGCTCAAGATGGCTTACGTATTTGATCCATCGGAGTGGGATGCCCTGCCTTTGTCCTGGACTTCACCGCTGATGCAGTTTGTCGCGGAGGGGGGGGGGGGCGCAGCTTGCCAGGTGGCATCGAGAAGTACTGCGTGAGGCTCGAACCAACTGGGCCTGCTGACAGTCTGTTGCGAGTGGCTGCCAAGAACGCCTTTTGGGATCTGGGATTGTCAGTGTTGAAGACAGTCCACAAAGACCTTTGCGTCGACCCCCCTGGCGGCCTCGACCTTTTCGCGACCTTGCAGGCGCTGTTGACGCACGTCTTGAAGCCGACAGATCTGGACCTGTGCGAAATCTTGCGGAAGCGTTGCTTCGTGAAGTTCGTCGGTGAGGACGGTTTGGTGGACATCCAGGGGGCGATCGATTGCATGGCGAAGGAAGAGCAGGATATGACGAGAGAGACGCTGTCTGAGAAGGGCGTCCAGAAACATGTCAGGAAGGCATACACTGCGAAGTTCAACGTCTACCGCAAGGAGGTGGAGGCGGTGCGCACTGCCGAGGCTGCCGATCAGAACCGCACCAAGCAGGAGCTGAAGAAGTGGAAGGGGCCAATCGAGCCGCCCAAGGACGGGATCGTGCACTCCGAGGCGAAGAAGTTCCCCCCACCTGGGGCGAGCCTGTGGAGGGGTCTCACAGGCACGGGCGCGTGGCACGTCCACACCCCCCCGCACTACAAGTCCAAGACGTGGCTCGAGGCTGGCAGCTACGACAACGCGCTCAGGTTCGCCCTGGCCTTCGCCTGGAAGAAGTACCTCAAGAGCAAAGACCTCGGCGACTCGCGCTGCCCGATCAAGGGCCTGCTGAAGCACTACACGGACGATGGGGAGCAGGCGGCCACCGCAGCCGCGAGCTCGTCGAGGGGATGAGTGGGAGCACAGCTCGCTTCACTTTTTTTCTGCCGTCGCAGCTCCTTCCCCCTCCGTTCTCGCACGAGGGTGCCTCCAGACATAGATACGCCCAGCAGGGGAGAAACCCCTTCCCTCGCCCCCGCCCCATTCTCTGGTGAAAACGGGGATGCGACGGCGCGAGGTTCGACACAATACCTTGTATTGTGGACTATGCCTCCCGCCTCTGCCCAGGCATGACCACAGCTCCCGGCGCGACGTACGCTGGGGGCTAAGATTTCGATCAGGGTGGGCGGCACCGCCAGCATCGCATCATCGATTGCTGGCTGGTGCGCGTTGGTGCATGGCTGGTAGTTGGATGCACTGGCCAGCAGCAGGACGCCTGGTGCATCGCTCGTGCAAGATGGGACTCGTCCGTAGTTCGACCGTAGGTGAACGGATAACTTAGCATATCATGACGTTGGTGCGTGTAGCGCACGGCAGAGGGCAGAGGATGATATCGAATAGGAGGCGGGCCGTCGGGTCGCAACGAGGCCACGTGGGAGTTCAGAGGAGGGCGGATGGGGAATGAGGAGGGGTGGAGGGAAGGTACGGGGCACTAGATAATGAAGGAATGTGACGGCTGCGGGAGGGGGGGGGGGGGGGGAAGGTGCGGGGCACTAGGAAATGGGAGGGGTGAGGAGGGATGGATGGGGAGATGCGGGGAAGGCATGGGGAATGAGGAGGGGTGGAGGGAAGGTACGGTGCATTAGAATAATGAGAATGAAGACGGGTGGAGGGAAGGTGCGGGCCTCTTAGCCATCATCCCTCGTGACCTTGTCGTTCCCTTGTCCATCTTAGCTTACTCTCCCGCCCCCTCCCTCTCCCTCGCCCCTGCCCCCCCCCCCCCCCTTCCTGGCCAATCTCTCGCGTCCCTCATCGCTCCTGCCTGTTTCCCACCAGTCGTGCCCCCACTTCCGCTTAGCCATTTTTGCTCAAACCCCTCAGCGCTGAGAAGTGCGTTGGCGCCCGAGTCCGACAGCTGCCTCAGCTGCGCTGGGGTGCGCGCGTTGGCGTAGAAATTACCCTGGTAGCGGGGCTGTGCTGGCACTCTGCCAGATCTTGTCGCGGGCCACCTTCCCCCTGGATTTGTTTGGTGGCCTGGCGGCTGTTTTGAGCGGCTTTGGCGACTTGGCTGCGGTCGAGTTTCGGATCGGGCTTATGCCTGGGCCTTGGGGGAGTATGTTGCTGGTGTCGGGTCAGCTTTCGCGGCTGTGTGCTGCCCGTGTGGAGGGGGGCAAACGCTCGCTTCAAGCGGTGGCGCGGTGGTTTCAGACAGGCCTACTCGGGAATTTCACCCCCCCCCCAAACGGCGAGTGTATCTTGTTGAGGCAGTAGCATCAGCGACGTGATCAAGGGAAGCGGTTGTCGGAGATGAAAAAAGAGGTGCAGCGGCTACAGCGAGAGCTTGCCGCCGCCAAGAAGTCTCCAGGACTTGGCCCTGATACCGACGCCATGGGTGAGGACGGAAAAGAAGGAACTGGTACCGTGGAGCCTGCCTGAGAATTTCAGCGCCAGATCGACGACGTCGAAGCGAAGCTCAAGAAGTGCCCGCAGGCGTTGGTGGCCCGGGTACCCGAGATGCAGCCCGTTCGAGATAACTTACTCAAGTTGCAAGAGGAACTCTACACGAAGCGCAGTGCCAGCAAGCTTGTCGCTACGCAGATCTCCGACCTGTCCCGCAAGTGTGCCAACGTGGAGGGCAAGATCTAAATCTACTCGTGCCAGGGGGGGGGGCGAAAAACGGAGTTTGCCAAGTTGCAGGAGCAGGTGGGGCAAGATGAAGCAACGATTTCAGACATGCGGAAGCAGCAGCTGGATCTCGAACAGCAGCGCAGGGAGCTTGCGGCACGTGCTACGGCGGGGCCTCCTACGAGTGAAGCGGAACCTGTACGTGCGGCAGTTCTTGGTTCGGGTTTCACCGTGGACGCGCTGGAGCAACTACCTAAGAGCCACGGGATCGGCGATGACATACTGGGCAAGATCAGGCAATATGAGGAGCTCACCAAGGCGCTGGCGCCGTCACAAGGCAGCACTGGCTCGCATGGCGGAGACAATGCTCGTGACGATGAGGCAGCTCGGCGCGCGCCTGCCCCTCATGTGGCAACGGTGCCAGTGCAGCAAGCCGACCTCGGTGTACTTCGGGGCATCTTGCGCGCAGTGGGATTCCTACAAATGAACTGGATGAAGAAGGGATACGCACGGCAGCCAATAAGTTATTCACCTGGAGGCAGGAACAGGTCAACGAGGCTTTCATGTCGTTCTGATCTCATGGGCAAGCTTGGAGCTCGTATGTGTTATACCGTTCTTTTTATTGTGTCAATGGTAACAATGATGCCGCAATTTACACCAGTGCCAGACGATCGCCTTCTACCGCGAGAAGGGCAAGGGCAGGCTGATAGGTTTTCTATGGGAATTACCGCGCCGCCACCTACGCCCAGCATTGGGGCGAGTCTCTCATTGATAGAGGCTTCGCCTGCTGGGCTCGTCGCCACGCCCTGTTGCTCGGCCCGGGAGCGTACCGGTAGGGGCGTTTTGTCTGGTGAACACCAGGCCAGGGGTCACGACCTCCCGTCACCAATCAGTGGTGGCGACAGCCTACGGGCAACAGGAGGCGCGGCCAGGCGTGTGTCTTAAGGACCTGCCAGGTACAGGTCGGCGGCAGAGTCGGGGATTGCCTCGAGCTGGCGGCCAGAACTCGAGCCACCGCTGTGCGGGGGCAAAGCTGCCATGTGCAATCGACCGTCCAGATTTCCAGTGGACGAGCAGTTTCGTGACGATATTCGACATTATGCTGGGTGCTGGATTTGGGACTTGAGAGGTTGGCAGTTTCAAGACCCTGAAGTTTGGCGCGGATGGTGCGAGGCATATCTTCATGAATATCTCACACATCTTGGTCGCGAGGAGCCCGTTCGAAGGCTGGGGCGGATCTACAACGTGCGGTTCGGGGCCGATTTAATTGCTGAGATCTGTGCTGATTCATGGCATGAAGGTCGCGAGGAAAGACACCATTTCTATCGCTTTCTTCGGACTTGCAACGAGGACGAGCGGGGAATCTTTGCAGCGGATCATTGGAGGAGGCTGGACGGCATCGTCGACATGATGGCGGATACGCTACGAGATCGGGTACCAGATGCTATTCGACGGAGGCGTTCGTGGCAGGGGCAAGGCAACCCTCGACCGATGAACACGGCGACGTATAGGACGTGTTGCTCGCTTTCGGCCATGCCTGGGGTTCGTTTGAAAGATGAGAGCGGGGTGAAGGAGGTGTCGGTTCAAGGCGAGCTCAAGCAGGTGGGCTACCGGCTGGGGAGCCGCCAGTTGCAGGCGCAACCCCAGCAGGAGGCAAACGTTGACGTGGTCAACGGTTTTTGGGGCACCGTGAATTGTACAAGCATGTCTTCTCTGGTGGAGCATTTGGCGCTCAGGCCTGATTGTCATGTGTTGGCGGTTCAGGGGCACCATTGCATAGGCGACAAGGTAGCGACGGCGCAGAAGCAGGTGGCAGACGTCGGCTATCATGGTATCTGGGGGCCAGCTGAAGCTTCTGAAGGTGGAGGGTCGCATGGTGGAGTTGCCATCTTAGCGCGCACTAGCGTTATGGTGACGGAGGCGCCCTTTATCTCGCAGGCTAAGTTCGACGCGTCGCGGGTTACTGCTGGGCACGTGCATTGGGGTGTTCCCAAGGGCCTCGTCATTATCAGCGTGTACTTGCATACGACGGAATGATGGTCAGATCGCAATCTAGAGTTGCTTGGCGGTATTCTTCGACATTGTGCGATGCTCAACATTCTTGGCATGGACTGAGTCGTGCTAGGGGACTGGAACACTGAACCAGCGGGCTGGCAGCATGAGTGGCTCAGCTCGGTCGGTGGGCATCTTAACTTCCCGACAACTTCGACGCGCGACAAGACTGAGTTGGGCCGTTGCCTCGACTACGCGTTGGCGTGTGACAACATGATCACGCGATTAGACAGGGGAATTGCGATGGAGGATGCTTCTATTGCTACGCACAGTCCTGTACGGCATGGTGTTCGCTAATCCGATAGCCAGGCCTGGACTCGGTAGTTGGTGGAGCGGCTCGGTTTCGGGGGCGGAGGCACCGTTTGGCTGCGCTAGGTTCCCGCGCACGAAAATTTTGAAAGTTGCTGCTCAAGCCGTGCAACGTGCTGATGATCTTCGGTCAGCGTGGGATTTGGTCTTGACAGAGATTGAACTTGATCTCGCTGATAGATGGGACTTGCGGGGTCAAGACAATATCAAACACGTGGGGCGAGCTGGGCCAGTTTGTCTTACTTGGAAGAAGCTCGAGTGGACTCCACCGAGGGAGCGCACATATATATATATATATATATATATATATATATATCGGACAAGGCTCATGCGTGGAAAGTGGCTGGTCGTTGGTGTGCTCACTTGAAGGCTACGAGGGCTACTTTGGATAAGTATTGCGTCTTGCTCAACTCAGCGGCTAAGGTGCGCGACATTACTCAGGAGCAATGTGGACAGTTGATTGAGCTGGTGAAGGAAGCTACGCTTTTTCTTCGGAAGGTGGTCAGCCGCGAGAAGGTTCCCAAACATCTGTCGAGAGAGGTGGTTACTTTCTTTCAAGACGGGCTACCCTTGCTGGTGCGCGACGACTTCCACGTGATTACGGATAGGGTGATACGACAAGGTGCAAAGGAGGACGAGTTGGCCATGAAGGCTAAGCTAAAAGGTTGGCAGCAGTGGGCTGATCAGAGTTTCTGGAAAGGCGCGGGTGCTGCTCACAAGTGCACAAAGGTACCTGCCAAGCCCGAAGTTATTATCACGATATTCCAAGCAGAGCCGTACAAGTTAGTCGATCGTGAGTTTCCAAGATGGAAGGAAGTATGGCAACATCATGGGTATTCAAAGTTGCCGACACCGCCTGATATTGCGGAGTTGGAGTTGTTACCAGATATGTCGGTAGCTTATTTGAGGTAGGTGATTCTCAAATTTCCATCACGCACGGCTAAAGGACAGACGGGGGTAGCTCCCAAGGCGTGCTGGCAGGTCAGCGATATGGGTTTGGAGACGCTGAGTACGTTGTATTCCAGATGCGAGGCGTTTGGATGTTGGCCAAGCGAACGGATCCTTAACATCTTGGTACGGCTTCCAAAACTTGACGGGCGCAGCAGCCTGATTGGCTTGGTCAATTCGGTCGTGCGTAGTTGGTCGAGGGCCAGAAGTAATTTCTCGTGAGTGGCTCAAGCAAACCGAGCTTCCCTCTGCCTGGGGCGCAGGCGGTGCAGGGCGTTCTTCCAGGGCATCGGCGTTCCAGCATAACTTGGCAGCGGAGGTGGCAGTGTTGACGGGGCAACATTCGGTCACGGCCTTGCTGGACGCGTGGAAGGCTTTCGAGAGTGTGTCGCCTCAGGCCCTCATGGAGCAAGCGAAGATCATGTGCTTTCCATTGCGGTTGGTCTGGATGGTTCTGCAGTGCCGCACTATGCCGCGCATCATCAGAGCTCACGCGCCGCTGTCGGTTAGCTACCAATCGGACCAGGGCATACTTGCGGGATGCAGTCACAGTACTACGTTGCTCACGGTACTAACGGCGACGGCTCTGCAGCGCATGGGCAATTCTGGCGTCATTCCTCGGGGGCTTGTAGACAGTGCCCCGGCGCAGTGGACTGGCGTAGACAGATGCGCGGAAAGTTGCGCAGCTATGGAAAGCGCTCAAAGGCTTCATTCACCATGTGCATGCATTGGGGCTGCTGATACAAGTCGACAAGTCTGGCTTCATATCGACGACGCGCGAGGGAGCGACTGCGTCGCTGGAGTCGGCGGAGTTTTGTGGCATACCAAAGAAGAAGCACGTGCGCAATCTAGGTCGTGTACTTCATGGGCAGACTGTTCGCAGAGGTGAAGAAGCAAACCGTAAAGGGGCGTTGAAGTCCAGGATGAAAAGGGCGTTCACTTTCAAGCAGACCGTTGGGCTCAAGATTACTACACTGTGGAGGACAGGGCTTCTTCCCGCTGTGGGACATGGGGCAATGGTGGGTGGCATCTCAGACGTTGAACTTCGGCATCTTCGTAGTGTGCCAGCAAGGATGGCAGGATGCCCTGGGCGCGGTGCAAGCATCACGCTATATGTAGCCACGCAAAAGGACGCCTATCACGATCCCATCTTCGACGCGACTACGGCGCCATTCTTCGCTCTTCACCGTGTTATTTGGAACCGAGAGCAAAGCTTGGGGCAGATTGAGCGGGCTCGGCGCAATCTTTGTTCAAGCAACGTGACTTGGCAATCAGCTCGTAGGCCTTTGGCGGTCTGCAAGCATTCGTTGCAGCGCATTGGATGGGAGATGGTGTCTTCGACGGTGGTACGAGACGATGCTGGAGATCATGTTTCGCTCTTAACCACGCCGCCTACCTTCATGCGGCCCTTACTTGGGTTGGGCATCCAGCGGCGGCAAATGAGGAAGGTTATGGAGCATCATCCTTCAGCGGAACCGATCACGACTATTTGGGCCAGGTGTCTTCGTCGCGGGGTTGGTGCCAGAGCGGCTTCGGTCAAATCCCCTGTTGCTGCTGGAGCTCTACGCTCGCTTTGGTCTGGCCCGCTTTGGCCCAAGCCCAGGTTGTTCGATCACGGCAAGGGTTCGGGCGCCAAATGCCGCTGGCGTGAGCAGGAGGACGAGTGCAGTGGACACTGCGCGTTTGAATGCCCAGTGGTCATAAGCATATTATTGGGCGACGAAGAAGAGCACCCCATGCCTGAGGATCTTAGCAAATTTTGCAAGGCGGTTTTAGATCACGGCGCGAGTATGCAGTCAGTGGTGGCTTTGGATTCGTTCGACTACCCGGTTGGGATGCCGCAGTTGCTTGCTATTCCTGATCTTCCAGGCTATCGCTTACCAGTCTATTGCTGAGGGAATTGGGGGACGGCCGTTCGGTGAGCCAGTGGTGCTTTTCACTGATGGGTTTGCCGCGCCATCGCCTTTTCCAGAACTTAGGCGCTGTGGATGGGCAGCAGTGGAGATGTCCAGGCACGGATGCCCTTGCAGAGCGATCTATGGAGGACCCCCTGCACGGCAGCAAACGATTGGACCGGCAGAAAGGCATGCGTTGCTGCAGGCGGTTACGGTTTTTAGCACAGTCGACGTGATCATCTCAGACCTGCAGTCGCTGGTCAAGGAGGGCAACAATTGGAGCGACGACAGCGAGGCAGCAGAAGCCATGCATGCAGGGGTATGGCGCGATATTCGTGGGCTGGTGCATAAACGAGAGTTGTCTGTGCCGAAGTTCCACTGGTGCCCCTCGCACTTGGACTCCCTTGATGTTGTCGACGGGCTCGACCCACCCGGCCTCGACCCGATTTGGGCGCTGGGCAACAGTTGGGCTGATTACTTCGCGAAGCGTGGGGCTGCAGAGATGACGATTGCCAAAGGCTACATGGGATATGTGCAGCATGTGTTCGATGAAGGCAGGATGATGGTACGATATCTCAGTTGGGGCTTGGCTCGTCTCTGTCAGCAGCAGCTCTGGGAGAACGAAAAGAAACGGACTTACAGGGAGAAGCACGAGCACTTGGCTATTCTCGAGCACGTCTTCTACTATCATCCGACACAGCAGATATGGAAATGTCGCCATTGTGGGGCCACGGCTAAGACGCGAACTCATCTTGATAATTTACGGCGGAGTGTTCGCAGCCATTGTGCACCTACTGCAATACAAAGGGCTCGAACGGACGCATTCTTCAGTACGGATAGTGGGAAGCAGTATGCCATTTATCGGACTGAAGCGGTTCAGCCGGCGATGGAAGCGGCAAGTGTAGTGTTGGGGGGCCAGCGGGTCGAAACCGAGCATGCATTTAATGACGACGCTGTGGGCGATCTTCGTAAAGCTACCGATGCATTGTTCAAGCAGCTTGGTCACGAGCCTGCCTGGTCTGGAAATGCGGTGATTTGTGCCAAATGTGCGTGTCACTCGACACAGCTCGACGGCAAAA